TGTTTTATTTTTAGTCTATTATTTTTTTTATGATTTATGTATGTTAAACTATTATACATTGATTTGTTAATCTCACTTACTTGATTTTAGGTATTGTTACATACTTTTATATCTTTTGTTTATTTATCAAAATTTGATTTTATTAAATGAGATCTCAGGAGATCTTTATTTATTTATTTATTTATAAGTTAGTATCGAACCCACAATTCAGGATATATACACAAGAGATTATTAATGTTTTAACACACAATAGTGACAAAGAAGTTTAAAAAATGAAATAAGCAAATATGTTTCAATTAATAAAAAAATAAGCAAAGAGATTTTCATTTCTTCTCCCTTCTCGTATGTTGGTATGATAATACATAATATCGCGCTCTAAATCCCACGAACATCGTGCACTATCAGTTACTTGTGCAATTTTGGAAGAATGAGAAAATGCATTTGCATCCACATCATCAATCTTCAGCTTATTCAGTTAATTTATCTTTAAAATGTTCTAGCAAAACCAACCAAAAATATAACTATTAGTTGTCACTAATTTATTAAAACAATATTTTTCAGCAAACTAAATTGCATATAAACACAATTTATATTTGTAGAGAGCTACTTACCCCCTTCAAAAATAAAACAATGGTGTATTTTTTTTTACCTAATAACAACATAGACGAATTGTAAACCTCAACTCATTGTATCTTGTAAAATCTTCATTCATGAACACGGTTGATGCATCAATCCAAATAGCTGTTGTCAAGAAAACGATCAGGCTAAAATCAAATTTTAGTTAGAGATTCAATTAGGCAAAATTTCACGCGAAGGAAACAAACAAATGTCATTGAAAACGTGTAAAAATTGAAAGAACGTCGATTTGAGCAAGGAAATTTACGATCAAGCCGTTGTAATATGGAAGAAATTAAGAAACAAATGGAAAGAAGAGTTTAATATGGCTAGTCAACCACAAACAACTACATATCTCTAGGAAAAAGAGATCAGTTGTCAGCTACAGATCAAGGGTGAAGAAGGAGGAATGAGCAATCATCGACTTCATTCAATTCGTCTTCACAATGATAGGATGAACTTTTTTAGTCAATAGTCAAATATATGTTACAGTAGCTCAATGGTTTCCCATCTAATCATTGTCTTATATAACTCCATCCTCATATTCTCTTACAAAGAGTAAAACCTCAATATGCCTTACTATTTCCTTTCATGTATCTGTTTGAAAAAAGTAGAGAAAAGAAATGCTATAAATCTCAGGATTTTGAGCAAATAAAAAGAGACGTTTGTTTGTTTTTATGGGGCTTGATCCAATTTTTTATTTTCTTCTTTTCAATATTGCGCTTTATTTTTATAGAGAGAATTTGTATGAGAAAAGGGATAGGAACAAACCAAAATGTTGCATTCTGTGTTATTAACTTAATTTATGTTTTATTTATAGTGATGATAATTTAAAGAGTAAACAAAAAAATATATAAGCAAGAATTAGAACTTGTCCATACTGGAAGGGTGAGAGCTAACCATTCGTTGATGTGACACTAATTTAGTTTTTAATTCCTATAATATTAAGTAATGATGGTTTACAATTTTTTGAATTTTTTTATAAACTTTAAGAATTCATACAAATATTGTGACATTTCACATACATTTGAATACTCAGATTTATTATAGACAAATTTATTGTAAATACAAATTGCTTATTTTACAAAATAGAAAATTCCTATTTGATACTTTGATATTGAAAAGTTTTTATTATTGCCAAAAGTTGGCATTGAGTCATAGACTCGCACCATATAACCAAAGGATTTATTACAATTGCCTTATCAAGTTCATTCTTATTAGAGATTCTTCATTTTAACCCAATACCTTGATTTAGATTCTTGTAAACATAAAATTTTTTTGTTTAGATATCTCAACTAACACACTGATATTTATTTATTGTTTCAATCCTCAAATTTTGATTTGTCTAAAAGACATTCAACTACTAATGAAAATTGTCCAATCCTTATTTGATCAATGCCTAGGTTAGTGATTGATGAAATGTGATATTTATCATATATTCTCAACAAAGATTCCTATAACATTCACATGTGTCATTTTTTAAGGTATATTGTGTCTCGTCTTAAGGTATGAAGTCAAAATTCGTCAAAACTTATACTTAAGTCATTTTGAGAACTTTGATATATAATCCTCGACAATAACTCTAAATCTGAAAAGAAAATTTATTAGCATACTATTTATGACCTCAATTGAGTTTTCTCAACCAAAATCATCTAAATCAAATATTTTAATGTGAACTTAAACCAAATTATAAAATATAGCACATGTAATTACTTTTCATTTGAGAAATTTCAGGTAGAACTTGAATATATGTTTTCACTTCATCAGGATGAATACAAATGTTTTTAAGAAATTATTATTATTACTCGATCAAGTTATATTTTGACAATTATTTTATTATATGAAATAATTATTTTAATTGGTAGACATATATATTATAAAGAAGAGAAGGTTTAATATATAAATTCTTATATTTCATTTCTCAAATTTGATTGATTGTCAAATGCTTGGTTTGTCTCTTTATGTTATTATAATTTATTTAATAGACAACTTTTTTTTCATTCCCGAGGAAGTTTATATTTTTCTCGAGTCCTCTCCCCTAATGGTACAGAACAATAGTCATTGGAGTAGATACACAAATCACTTTTAATACAAGAAGCCGAGTAGGCGGATTGATTCGAGTGGAGAGGAAAAAAAAACTACGGATTCGAGCCATAGTACATGGTTTCATAAAAGCGTATGCTTTTCCCGATCTAAATAAAGCGGGTTTTCCATGAAGAAGACTTGGCTTTGGCTCAACATGTTATATTCGATACGTGTATGTACTTATTTAAATTTTTCATCAAAATGTAACTTATTATTAAGTTTTTGTTAAAATGAGTAGATAATTCACTTGATAAGATTTAATCATATATTTGTGTAAACAAACCCAATATATGTCATTCTTTGTTTTCATCTTTATATTTTGTTTAATTGACAAAAAATATTATTATTTATGTTTGTTTTTATTTAATTTCAATGTAACTTATTATTAATGTTGAGTAAGCATAAATACTAAAAGAAGAGAGAGATAGCTTAATAAATAGGTCAATAATAAATTTTTTTGTTAGTAAAAAAAATGTCCACCTTGGCAACTTGTTATTTCTCCAAGTGCTTATGTGGCAAGATGTTACTTTTGAATTGCCATAATATATAGTATAGATAGATAGATAGATATAGATAGATAGATAGATAGATATAGATATAGATAGATAGATAGATAGATAGATAGATATATATAGATATAGATAGATAGATATAGATAGATGTTAGAATGTGGTATAAGATCCAGCAGAACCTTCTCCCAACAACTCGAGTTATTGGGACCAACTGGTTCATGACATGGTATCAGAGCCTCGAACCAAAAGGTCATGTGTTCGAATCTCCACGACCCCCAATATTAATCGTTGTCTTTCAAGCACATGGTATGGTGGGCCTGTGCAAACTTCAAGCCCATGAGTTGGCTTTCGTTTGAGGGGGCGTGTTAGAATGTGGTATAAGATCCAGCAAAACCTTCTCCCAACAACTCGAGTTATTGGGACCAACTGGTTCATGACAATAGATAGATAGATAATTATTATAAACTTATTGTTTTCCCTAAGGATTCTATAATAGAATGCTCTTTAGATTGTTAAACTTTGCAAAACTCAGATTATTTTTCTATGCACCTTTTCCTTCTGAATAGGTAATGAGGACTACATTATACAAGCGCAAAAATAAAACAAAACGTAAGGCATTTAGAACCCCAAACTTGCTATATTTATTATATGAATTGTAGTTGTTGATGAACGATGCCGGAAGAGAAATAAAAAACAGTCTATCCCCCAAATAATATGCCACCCGGCCAAAGGCCGGGCAGAAGAGCTAGTTCCATTTATACCCAATTCGTCGCCGCCGCCCCCACCTGCTTCCTTGACCTCGTCGGCGCAGCCACCACCTACCTCCTCGATGCCCCTCGTCGGTGTTGCCGCCACCTGCCTCCTCACTGCCCTCGCCAATCGTCGCGGCATAACCATGAGATACAATATCATAACCAAACCGTCCAAGCTAATACAACAACCAAATCAATCAAACTAAAATTTAATCGGTTTGGTTAATTGGTTAACAAAATAACCAATATACTATCACATTATCATTAAGTGAGAAAAATTTATGGTTAGTGTATCAATTTGCAATTTATATAATGAATTACACATAACAATTAACACATAATTATAGCTAACCATAAACATAAATACATGTAACTAATAAAATTATCTTACCGTTGACTATTAAGTGGTATGCAAAGTATTAAGTATGCGTGTATAATTTATTAGATATATGGTTAATTACTTAACTTGTTAATTTAGTTTGATCGGTTAGAAGTGTCTAAAACCAAATCAAAACACCTAAACTAAACCAATTATCAAAATTAACCAAACCAAACTAATTATCCAAATTATCCAAATACTACCGGTTAAACGGTTATCACAGTAACCACTCCATTTGAACACCACTAGCGGTAGATATATGGTTAATTACTCCCCTAAAGTTTATGTTGATTTTTTTATTATTTGGAGAGGGGAGCAGAGCCAGAGAGGCGAAGATAGGGATTTGGGAATGGAGAGGAGAGACATATAGAGAGATTTGGTTTTTTGGAGAGAGGGAAGGGTAGTAGAGATGAAAAGGATGGAGAATGTGGCTGATTTTTTTTCCCCATTTATTTCGGTCAAAGGTTAACCGACCAACCGAACCGATGGTTATGTAGGCGTTTTTGGTTAACAAATTGCTTAATCGGTGGCGATTTTGATTGTCTATTTCAACCACTTATCGGTGAAGGTTAACTGACAAGTCGGTTCGGTTAAACTGAAACCGCACTGATTATCAAGCCTAAAAGTACATATGTTTTGAGCAAATTGATTGTGACAAAAGCGATCTATACTTTAATCGCCGTGACCAACACAATCAAAAGTAAATCGCTTCGAACAAAAGCGATCATGAGTTGGTCGCCTATGAGTAAAGCGATCTATGGTTGTTGGCTTCATGGACATCGACTCAATTGCGGCTTTGGAAGCCGACAAGCGATCGCATCGGCCGATTTCCTTTATTTCCACTTGAGTCAACTTCTCTAGGAGGCGGTCAAAACCGACCCCATCAAGAACTCGGACATACTAGCGGGCAGAGGGCAGAACCCGGACACCATCTGCGTAATAGAGCTCGAAATACGTGGATGATCCTCCGTGATTTCCACCCCTCCCACCGCCATCGGGTGGCCCGTGAAGAACGATTACCAGATTGAAAGGGGAGCGATCCCCACCGTTCCGTCTGGACCCGCGACGATATCTAAGGGTGGAGGTAGCGACGAGGTATGCGGAAATATCTAGATACATAGCAGCGGTGTCGACGCCGATTGGAGGGAAAGGATTAGAGTGGACATGAGGGGAATGAGGGAGGGTGATGAACTCCTCAATGAATATGTCAGTGCGATCGGGGCAGAAAACGAAGTCGTCGAAGGATAGGAGGCGGAGATGGAACAAGCAACAATATTTGTAGCACCATAAGGAGGAGGATCCAGGGGCAGCCATCAGGGAAACCTTTGAAAATGGGGGCAGGGGAGATTGTGAGTATTATGGTTGGGTGTATTGGGAACTAGGGATGGGCACGTGGGTGGTTAATTTGCGGGTTGATATTTTTCCACTCGCAAATAACCCGAACAACAAGTAGTGGGTGATTGATGTGGATGGATTGCGGATTGATAACTCTCCTACCCACACTTATCTGGGTGGGTGGTGGGTGGATTGCGGGTCACCCAAATGACATGCATCATATTTTCACATGAAAAATTGTTGTTTCTTATACGATCGAATATTCATCATATTTTCTAACCGCACTAGACATTGACCATTTACTTCTAAAAGTGAAGAATAAATAATAGTTTTAGACCACTATTATTGGTTACTGTGTTGTGTAATATCCATTAGATATTGGGATACAAATTATAAAATATCAATTAACCATAGTTGCAAAATGCGTAAGTTTTCTCTGCATAACTGGTTAACATAGTACCAAAATTTTAATGCAAATACTACATGGATTCATATGAGACAAAGTGGGAAGTGTATAAATTGATACAATCTTACAAATTTGCTAGGAACTTATAAAAAAATGTTAGTAAACTTTCTTAATGCTAGTTGAAGAATTGCTTTTGTAGGTTAACCCACAACCCAACCGCACTCATCCGCCACCCACCCAACCCAACCCAACCCAACCCGCAGAAGAATGTGGGTGGATAGCGGGTCAGAATTATATCAACTCGCAAGTAAACGAGTGGGTCAATTTAAAACCAAAACCCACTAAATCTGCCCATTGCCCACCCCTATTGGGAACTACTTTTAAAACTTTTGTTACCGTGTCCTTAAAAATTAAACTTTTTGTAACTGTTTTGTACAACGTTCAAAGGTTTGAACAATCAATCATGGTTACAATTGGCTGCAATTGAAGTATGATGACTTTGTTAATTTATGAGAATGATATTATCGTAACAAAAGATGAAAGTACTCATTAAAATAAACAAAAGATGATAGTGAGAAAATTCAACGCCTCGCAAATGGGTTACAAAATGCTTTTTAGTTGAAAATACTCTATACACTTTCTGGGTATCGAAATTGAAAGGTAGACAAATGACATTCTTATTCGGCAAAGCAAGTATATCGATGAACACAAGACTCAACATTTCATATGTCGTTCAAGTGGTTAGTCTCATATAATAGACGAGCACACGATTCGACCTTAAAAAGATTACAAACCTTTTAATTTGTAACGACTCGGTAACAAACTTTTACACTTAACACAAACGGTCACAAATTAAAATTACATATAATTTCAAACTTTTTTTGGGTAGAAAGACGGTCGCTCAAGACGACCTAACTCGTATTAATTACTGAACGTTGTTGGGAAGCTCCCGTAACATCATACATAAGCCAATTTCAAATTTTAATCATCGTATCATTACAAATTAAAATTTTGGGGTAAATTGCAAGTTTGGTAACTGGAATTACTATAAAAGTTCACGTTTTCCACTAAGATTAATTTATTTCATTTGTAGTCACTCAAATTAGTTGCACAATCCAAGTTTGGTCACTGGCCGTTAGTCTCCGTTAACTTTTGCTGAGTTGGCAGCCAACTCTCATAATTGACCGTTAAATAGGTTACGTGGCAATTAAAAAATGTAATCTATTAAAAATTCCACCTCATTATCATATTAATTAAAAAATAAATAAAAATAAAATTTTCAATTAACTATTTATTAATATATTTTATCCACCATTCGTCCCTCCCTCTCTCTTCTCTTATCTGTTTAATGTCGTGACACGCCCTGTTGAGCGTTGCCAGTTTGCAAATCTCGGCGGTATCCAAAATAGCGAGAATTGGAGCCCCACAGCTCTCCGGAAAGTCACCCAAAGTCGGTCTCCACGGCGGCTGTTGGATTGGAGGGGAAATGGCGCCGAATAGGGAGCAAGTCGTCTCTGAATCCATGAAAATATAAGAGAAGTTAGCACCCATCAAGACACTAAGCAACTAAAGAAGACCCAGAAGAGGAAAACAAGGGAGCAACCTAGAAACTTCGATTCAGAGGAGGGTTTTCCCAATTAAGCAATGATAAAGGAAATACAGAGTCGACAATATATGAAATGTAGGTGCGCAATGGGCAGAACCGAAGGAGAGGTGACAATAGGTAGAGGAATGGAACAGACCCCGCACTCAAAATCTTTGTTTAAAGAAGAAAAAAGAAAGAAGCAGAGAACACACTTTTTGTCGCAGATTGCCTGTTGTTTGAGAAGGGGTTTTCAGGTCGGCGTTTGTCTGTTTGTTTGATGGGAAAATTTACAAAGAATGGAAAATTGAAGGGGGAGAGGAAAAATTAGTAAATAACGATTGATTTTGACAGTTTAACCCAGAATTTCAACGAGCAATTAGAATGAGGAAAGGGAAAGCGCTGAAATCCTATAAAACTCTTGGAAACTTGACTTGTTTAACTGAGCAAAGGGCCGATCTTTTTGCCGCCGGCGAAAAATTTAAAATCAATTTCTGTTTACTACTCTGGTCACTGGAGAAGGGTTTAGGGGTGATTGGGTAAAAAACTTCGAGCTGCTAATGGTTGCCTGTATTTAAATTGAGAACATGGAGAGAGATGGAGGAATGGTGGATCAAATATATTAATAAATAATTAAAATTTTATTTTTTTATTTATCTTTTAATTATTATGATAATGAGGTAGAATTTTTAATTGATTAAATTTTAATATTTATTTATTTTTTAATTGCCACGTCACCTATTTAATGGTCAACTATGAGAGTTGACTGTCACGTCAGCAAAAATTAACGGAGACTATAGGCTAGTAACCAAACTTGGACTGTACAACTAATTTAAGTGACTACAGATGAAATGAATTAATTTTAGTGGCAGAATTCTAGTCAAAAAATTTGCAATTTACCCTCAAATTTTGTGACAGTTTGTAACTTGCCAGTTTCTTTTATTCCACTCCGCGGGAAACAAAGGGTCCAGATCTTGTCAGTAACTGATGGGTCAGTAACCCATCAGTAACCCCTTCCCTGGTCCCCACGTGTCAGTCACTTTTTTATTTAAATTAAATGTAAAAAGGGTAGTACAGTAAAATTGCACTTACTCCTATTTATTATTGATGCTCACTTTTGACCGGAGCCTATCAGCCCCTCCTTCTCTCTTCTCGCAAAACATTTAATTTTCCTTCACTTAATCTTTAACGGACGATTTCTCACTCGTTTTAAGTCGAAATTTTGATTTTTTTTGCACAGTTAGATCAGATTAATTGTGCTCTTCAAAATTATATCCACTTTGATATTTTTTGGACACAAAAAAATTTGTCAGTTATTACCAGTCTATACCATATGGTATTGACTGTACCATATGGTATTGACTGGTATTAAACAAGAGCATACCATGTGGTATGGTAATATTTTCCACATGAATATACATTTCGTTACCACCCAATACCATATGGTATAGTGTGGTAATATCAATATATATTTCGTTACCACCCAATACCATATGGTATAGTGTGGTAATATCACACAATTCACACAATACCATATGGTATAGAGTGGTAATATCAATATATATTTCGTTACCACGCAATACCATACATTACCATAGGGTATAGTGTGGTAATATCAATATATATTTCGTTACCACCCAATACCATATGGTATAGTGTGGTAATATCAATATATATTTCATTACCACCCAATACCATATGGTATAGTGTGGTAATATCAATATATATTTCGTTACCACACAATACCATATGATATAGTGTGGTAATATCACACAATACCATATGGTATAGAGTGGTAATATCAATATATATTTCGTTACCACACAATACCATATGGTATAGTGTGGTAATATCACACAATACCATATGGTATAGAGTGGTAATATCAATATATATTTCGTTACCACGCAATACCATAAATTACCATAGGGTATAGTGTGGTGATGTCAATATATATTTCGTTACCACCCAATACCATATGGTATAGAGTCATAATATCAATATATATGATCTAAAAGGAAAAAAACAGAAGGAGGGAGAGAAAAAAATCGTCTTCTGATGCCTCTCATTTCCTCTTCCTCAATCAAGAACACCAAAATGCCAAAAAAATGAGAAAGATCGGAATTGAGTCCAACGAGTTGATGAAGAGAAGAAATGCAATGAAAGAGAGTGGCTACAATTTTTATGCTAGAGAAAAAAAATGAAGAAGGAAGAGAGCAGATTTAGATTTGAATAGGAGATTGTGAGAAAAAAAGTAAGAGAGAAGGAATAGAGAAAGAGAAAGGTTATGGAAAGAGATTGAAAAAAAGGAAGAGAGAAGGAAGAAAGTTGAGTTGCAGAGAAGGAAGATTCTCTCTCTTTTATTGAAAAGTCAGCAATTGAAATGCGGAATAAATAAAAAATTAAAAATACGAAAACGGACAAAAATGCCCCTTCCCCACCCAGCGTCCAGCCCATCCACACGATTTCTCCCTCCCCAAATCTACGGCCCGCGTGTGGTTATTGACCCTATCTTGGACCGGAAACAAAACCTAAAAAGTAAAGAAACTCTCAGTTTCGCCAAATTTCCAGTTCCTTTAACCAAATCTTACATCTGTCCGACGAGAACAGACTCTGAAATTTCGAGCAGAGCTCACTTCAGTTTGCGACTAATTCCGATGTCATCGCTAATTGCAACGCCCTCCTACATTTTTCCGACGAGAACACAATCAGAGCTCACTCCTGTTTGTGTCTGATTCAGTTTTCACGACTAATTGCAATTGAGCGTTCCTCAATTTCAACCTGGCGAAAGATGACGAACATCATCAGTTACTGCATCTTCCGTCATACTGCATTTCGATTTCAGCTTTGGGAAAATGCCGGTAAGGCTCTATTCTCCTCTTCTGCTCATTTCACTAGCGTGGATGATGCCCTAGATTCGTTTAACAGGATGCTCAACACGAATCCCCTGCCTTCCATTGTGAAATTCGGTCAATTATTGACTGCCCTTGTGAAACTGAAAGCCCCCGAGGCTGCACTTTCAGTGGCCGAACGAATGGCTTTGGCTGGCATCCCCTGCAACGATTACATACTTAACATGTTGATTCATTGCTACTGCAAATTGGGTCGGGTAGATTTCGGGTTTTCGATCTTAGGCAAAGCTTTTAAACTCGGGCTTCAACCAGATGTGATTGCTTTCAATACTCTGATTGACGGGCTCTCCAAAAGTGGGAGAATTCCCGAGGCAGTGGAGTTGTTTAATAAGATGGTGGCTTTAGGATATAAGCGGGATGTGGTCACTTACAACGCGATCGTAAATGTGCTGTGCAAGATGGGCAAAACGGATGCAGGTCTTAGTTTGCTTAAACAAATGGAAGTTTTGGGCTGTAGCCCTAGTGTTGCTACCTATAACACTGTCATGGATGCCCTATGTAAGAATGGTTTGATGTCGAAAGCTTTAGATGTTTTTTCAGAGCTAAAGAATAAGGGAGTTTCACCTGATGTTTTCAGCTACAATTCCTTAATTCACGGTCTATGCATCTCAAGCAAGAGGACTGAAGCTTTGAAGATGTTGATTGAAATGATAGAAAGTGACATTATGCCTGATGTATTCACCTTTAGCATATTGGTTGATGATTTCTGCAAAAATGGGATGATTTTGCAAGCTAAAGCTGTGGTCAACATGATGATCCAGAGAGGAGTGCACCCAAACATTGCTACATACAACTCATTGCTAGATGGATATTGTTTGCGAAGCGAAGTGGGCAACGCTAGAAGGTTATTTGACTTCATGCCCAGCCTGGGATGCAAGCCTAATGTTCGTACTTACAGCATCATGATTAATGGATATTGTAAAGATAAAAGGATCTCTGAAGCCAACAAGTTATTTTTTGATATGCTTGAGAAGGGTTTGAATCCAAACAATATTACATTTAATACTCTTATTGAAGGATTCTGCCTCGTACAAAGGCATCAAGAAGCACATGAACTTCTCACGAAAATGGTTGATCAGGGTCAAGTTCCAGATGTTGTGACATATAGCATTTTGCTTAATGACATGTGCAAACGAGGTAAGCAAGATGAGGCATTGACTATGTTCCAAGCAATAAAAAATAGCAAGTTAAAGCCTGATGTTCGGATGTACAATATCTTGATCGATAGCCTGTTCAAAACCGTGAAGCGTGGGGAGGAAGCATGGGCTTTGTTTACTAGCCTCCGCGAAGATAAGTTCTTACAGCCTAATGTGTATACATATAACGTGGTCATTGGTGGGCTTTGTGGACAAGGTTTGGTCGATAAAGCTTATGATTTGTTTAGAACAATGGAGGCAAGTGGTTGTGCACCGAATTCCCGTTCTTATAATGCGATCATCACTGGATTTCTTCAGCACAAAGATCCACTTGATGCAGCGGAACTCATTCAAGAGATGGTTTCTAAGGGTTTCTCCGCTGATGCTACCACAATGTCCTTGATCGCAGGTTTAGATAATCCATTTCCTGTAGAACTTCTTGGTTCCTCTGATTTGGGTGGTGAGGAGAAAGAGCCTAAGGGTTTATTAACAAATACAATTCACGGGGAATTATGTGGTACCCAGAAACCTCTTGAAAGTCATTATAATGAGGGTGGTCAAGTTAGCGATGATTGCAGGGGCATGGAGTGACATTCTTTGAGATTTCTGCATGTACAGTTGAGTTTTCTCCATGGTTGTAATTAGAGTTCTGACCATGATCGTCGTCACGCTCACTGACTATTTGCTGTATTTTCCCTCTGGTCTCTGCTGTGTTTCATGTACCGACCTCAAGGCTCTGCATACTTGACCGCTTTAATGGTGTAGTTGTGATGTTGCTGTTCATGTTATCAATTATGGTCCTGCGGTAAAACCAGAAAGGTATGGTTATGCTTAGCTTTTCATGCCTTTGGAAAACTCAACCTTAGCCGTTTATGGAGTTGAAAGTTTTTTTTCCTAATATTTTTCTGGGATGTTATCTGTATTTAGAAACAATGATTTAGTTTGGCGTGCATATTTGTCATGAATACACTCCAACTTTTCAACTTATTGATTCGGTGATGCTATGAAAATAATTGGTCACTTATTGCTGAGTAATATATAACCCGTGGTATCTCCTCATCTGTGAAGAACAGTGCATCAGTTCTTTTTTTTTTTTGCTGTTCCATTTCCTTTTCATTTCACTGTAAGAGATAAGGGCTTTACTTTGTTGGAGAGCAGGCAACGCATAAATTATTAGAGCTCCTACTGGAGTCTGCTTATTTGACGCAATAAACTTGGCAGTGGCTTTTGTATTGAGAACGACAAGCTCTTCACTCAGCGGTTTAATCGTCTCTGATCACATTCATCAAAAGAGGAATCACTTTTCTTTTCTGTTCCAGGAACAAGGAAAAGGGAAGTCACCAGCAAAAAGAGAAGAGGAAAAGAGAAACGGAAGACAGAAATGAAGACAGAAGACATGGCCCAGCTTATTAGAGCCGGCATGGTTTCACAGACAATGCACAACATGTTCACCTGTCCAGGTCCGTCTCTCTCTGCCTCCGCTCTCTTAGCTCTCGAGGGTTTCCAAAACGGAATGGATTTGTCAGAATTTCAAATGCTTTTGTTGATCTGGGCTCGTTGGTTTCGATACAAAAGTTGATGCCTTATTTTCAATTGAGTTGATTGGTGGTACCGATTTAATTCGTTACCGATGGGGACGGTTAGTTGGCTAAATTCTTCGTAAGCCTGCTTCTGTTCTGTGGTAAAAAGTTGATCACTTATCATTTCAATTGGCAGGGAGTTTTGCTGAGGCGCAGCATGGGTGGTGACTTTCCCTGAGATAATCACCACAACTCTGAGGAAACTCTGCCATATTTCCACTGTTCTCTTCAGTATTCTAGGTTCGGTTTCTTTCCCCCCTTTCCCTTATCTACTCGTTATGTATTGTGTTGTTTCTTTCAGGTCTTCCCTTTATTCACTGAAGTTCATTCGTACATGGACATTTTAGTTTGGTTCAGTTTGCTTATGATGAAGTGCATTATATTGGAGTTTACCATCATTCAGCAAACCATCTGGCTGACTAAGCATGTTCTTATGTTTCTGAAGTCAATGGCACACTTCAGAAGTGGCATTTCCTTCTGTTTCGTTGACGGAGTGCTGGATAATCTTGTGTCTAATGCAGTTAGCAGTGGTTTCATCTTTTGGGTGTTTTTCAGTAAGAATAGCTGGGTTCTGGAGTTCTATGTTAACTGAGTTGACATAAGACTTACCAGTGCTGCTAACTTGTCTGCATGTAATTTCAGGGATGTGTAATAAGTTGTTGACTGAGTTGTGGATTTTGCATGTTTCTCTAATTTTCGTATGCTTCCCCTCCTACGCCAGTTGATCATTGACAGCAAAGTGAACATTAAGATGACAACAGTAGTCGTAGAGATTGTAATTCTGCTTCCTATTTTGATATCTTTGGGCTGAAACTCTTTCCAGCATTTTTCATTTCCATTTGCTTAACGCTTGCCCAAGCTGATTGGAGTTATTATTTTAAGTGTACATTTATGGTCATTAGTTGAGTCTGTGCATGGTGATGTGAAGTTCTAAAAGTCGCTAAATGAGGACTATACTAAAACTTCTATCAACAAAGACCTACAGATTCCAAGTCTTTTCTCCCAGTATGTCCTGTTTTAGAATATGCTTACAATTTTTTTGTTGTATTTTACCAGTGGCAAGGAAACCGAGTTCCCAATTGAACTTGAACAGACTCTGGAGCTTATGCTGGCTGCTAATTACCTGCACACTTTAATGAGATTGGTTATCTTACTTCTTGTTGGCAAAACTATAATGGTAAGCTTTCAGCTTATGTCACTTCCAAGATTCAACTCTGTTGTTTAGTTCTTGATAACTGCATACAATATACTCGTGCTTTCCTACTGCATTGGTATTACAAACTGATCTTGTGATGCTGACAACACCTTGCAGGACCCTGGATAGGGCTATGCTTGCCAAGAAAAGATAGGGCTGCGCTTGGTATGTGGAATTGCCAGTCAGGTGCATTATGTTTTACTAAGCTGACTTGTAAAAGCATTGATTTGACCAAAGAACAAGTTGGTACTGAAGCTAGCAAAATGCATATGGCTACTTAATATGTCCATTTTTTGTTGTAAACTATTAAATTGTCGTGGAATGGTCTCCCAACTTCCAAGCAGTGGCTTCTTCTGTTCGTTTGTTTGGTACTATTAATGCAGAATTCGCCAGTTTTTTTTTTTTTTTTGTTTTGTTTTTTTCCCATAGAGAACTACTTAGATTGCATGTGCATCCTGAGAATTTGATGTTGAAATTATAGCATACTTTTGGGATAGAGGACATATTTTTGGATTTGAGCTGTTTTTAGTTTACTTTTAGAGTTTTTTTCCTTCTAATTTTCAGCTTACATTTTGAAAATACACTTTCTGAAAGTTGTAGTTCTTTAAAAGTTATATAAAATATAATATTTTTTGCATCAATCGGATAACCAAATGCAAAGTTAGATCATCTCAATATTTTTACGTCAAATTAGTAGCACATTGTGACAAAATGGAGCGATCCACCTAGACAGGATAGCGATTTTTTGTAGAAGTCTTGTATTTGAGTAAAAAATCCTTTTCTCCATGACACTTTCTTTTTCCTTATTAACCAACATGGATTGGTCATTCAAGTTCATGATTTGCCTCCCTTCCCTTGACTGCATGTTACGATCATTGATTGTGTTGTGTGGATTGCGGAATCAAGTGATAACCCATTGCGTTTTCCTTGACCTGGTCTAGTAAGGAACCCGTCTCCGCCAGTGAAACGGATTCAACCCTCTATATAATGTGCTGAACAGAGCACAGTCCAGTTAGATTCATACACTAACCCGAGAAACAATGGCGTCGTCAACTTGGAATGACAGCATGGGAACCTGTAGCAGTAGCAGTAGCATCAGCGACTACATCCCCTCTGTCAACGCCATGCTCCGCTTCTCCACCTTCTTCATGGTCTTCGGCAACATCATCCCCAGCGCGATTCGCGAAGCCATTGGCGACTGGCTCCACGGTCTCTTCTTGCGCATCTTCTTCGACTCCGAGTTCACCTTCAACATCGAGGACACGTGGCAGCACTTCCACAACGAGACATACCGCGCCGTTGGCGTCTACCTCCCGACCAGAATTGGGACGTCGACGGCCAGCCTCGTCATCGGTCACAACGACCACAACGACATCATGGCCCCCGTCCAGCCGGCCATCGCGGTGGGCTCCACAATCGTCGACCACTTCCAAGGTCATCGCTTCGAGTGGGTTCTCTGCGAGAAGAACGAAAACCCCGGCAGCTTTAACAACAGGAAGAAGAGGTGGTACAAGCTCAAGTGCAGGAAGAAGAACAGAGAGTTCGTCACCGAAACGTACATCCCGCACGTGTGCCGCGCCGCCGACGAGATCATCAAGGAGCGCGACGGCCTCAGCATCTTCACTTACAACAAGGACGACGCGTATTGGGACGCCACCGTCTTCAAGCACCCCTCCACTTTCGAGACTCTGGCTATGGACCCTGCACAGAAGCAGGAGATTATTAGCGACCTCGATCTTTTCGTTCAGCGCAAGGACTTTTTCAGGAGCGTTGGGAGGGCCTGGAAGCGTGGGTATCTTCTCTATGGACCCCCTGGGACTGGGAAATCGAGCCTTGTCGCCGCCATTGCAAATCATCTCAAGTTTAATGTGTATGATCTTCAGCTTCAGAGCGTGAAATCCGACTCGGATCTTCGAACCGTGCTTACCGCTACCACGAATCGATCGATTTTGCTGCTTGAAGATGTCGACTGCAGCAGCAGGAGCACAGAAACTAGGCTTTCCAAGGAGGAAGAGGATAAGCACAAGGATAAGCATAAGCAGCGTGACGAGAAAAAGAGCTCAATTAATCCCGGGGTAGGAAAAAAAGAAACAAAAACAGAGCATCCCTTCCCCTGTTTCTTTCTTGCTCTGTTTTTCCTCTGTTTATCCTGACGACTCTGTTTCCAATTTCCAAACTTTTTTTTTCTGAATTGCTTGATTTTAATAATTATGATGTAATTGCAGGTGACGCTATCTGGGTTGCTGAATTTTATCGACGGGTTGTGGTCGACGTGCGGAGACGAGAGGATTATAATCTTGACGACGAACCACAAGGAGAAGCTGGATCCTGCCCTGTTGCGGCCGGGGAGGATGGATGTTCATATCCACATGGGTTACTGCTCGTTTGCAGGCTTCTTATTGCTGGCCGACAAGTATCTCGGTGTTAAAGAGCATTCGTTGTTCAAGGTTATTGAAGCTTGGATGCAGAAGGTTGCTGTCACGCCAGCTGAAGTTGCTCAACAGCTGATGAAGACAAACGACGCTCAAGTTGCGCTGGATGGACTCGTAGAATTTTGCAAGAATAAGGAGAAGGAGATGGCAGAGGCGGCAGCTGCAGCGGCAAAAGCCCCGGTAGTGACGGCGGAGCTGCAAGCGGAGGAGGTCAGCAAGAAAAGTGAGGCTACAGCCACAGAGAAAGATATTAGTAGCCAATCTGAATCTCAATCTGGCGACTCATCATCTTCTTCTGATGATGATGAAGAAGATTAAAATAGTTTATTGCTCGTAGTAAAAGTACTAGTACTTATAAAGTAATTTAGCTCTATCTGTCTTACTGCTTGTTTAAAGTTAGGTTTCAATTATGCATTTTTTGAAATTGATAATGGATTATACTTGTTTCTTCTGGTATCGGTTAGCATGCTAATCCCCTTAGGGTTGGAAAAATGACACCCCTAGTATATTAAATACAACTATAGAATTTAATACACACATTAAAATTAAATACACATTAGGAATTAAATGTATCATATTAATTAGGAATTCTCTCACTATTAAATACACATTAGGAATTAAATACACACATATAAATACACATTCGGAATTCTCTCACTATATTTGATTTTTCCTTTTTCAGCAGTCTCCGACCACCAGACTTCCTCCCACCGCCACACTTCTCCGATGAAAATCCCATCGGCAGACTCCCTCTGACCACCTCCAAAAATATACCATTGCACTGATACGGTGTACCACTGCACTGGTAGCGATATCAATGCACTGGTAGCAATGTCATATCTGAGTATCAGTGCAGTAGTACAAATACCAGTAAAGTGGTAATTAATGTGGTGTATTTAATGCTTACTTTGTATTTAATAACAGAACATTTATTATGTTTACTTTCATTAATACTTGTCAATAATTAATGGAAAATTGACCAATTAAAAGGGGGGTGTCAAAAAACCAACCCCTTAAGGGGTTAGCATGCTAACCCGTCCCGTTTCTTCTTAATAAGAATGAGTTCTTAAGTGTCATTTGGCTTGTGATGTCTTTGTTATGATATGCACCCAAAAGCAAAATTGTGTGAGGTAGATCTAAAACGGACAATATCTTGATAATAAAAAGTGTGACATACTCATTCACATAGATACTCAAGTCAAAACGCTTCCTCGACCTTTTAAGTATTTTAGTTACCGGAAGCCGCATCCGAATTATGAAAGGAGAGTTCAGGAAGGCTAGGGACATGATGTTAAAGGTTCTGTAACGTATCGTCTGTATCTAAATTTGAAAATCAAACTAAAAAAACTACACAGAACTCATTACTCTGGCATTCATGAAAGTGTCTTGATAGCCAAAGCAGCACTTGCAGCAGCTCATTTTGAATAATAAAAATACAATCAGGCAGCTGGTCAGTGAGAATGGTACTAATGTTGAGGAGATAGGTATGAAGGTGGTTAAATTGTAGGGCAATGTCTATTTTTTACCCAAATCTTTTTCAGATTCTTTTATTTTAACCAAACTTATTGAATTCCTAAAAATTATCCAAACGTTAACTCTCCGTCAATTTTTCTGTTAGTAATGCTGACTAAGTATGACCATAATGAGTTGACTTCCTACGTGGGGTCAGAATACCATCATTTACTATTTTTAATAAAAAGATAATAAAAAAAATCCCACTCCTCACGTGGACAAAATAAGTAACGATAACATAATGAATGCCCAGACTTTGATAAATTATAATACGTTTGGATAATAAATAGAATTTCTATAGGTTTGGTTAAAATAATAGAATCTGAAAAAGTTTTGGGTAAAAAATAGACATTGTCCTAAATTCTATACAAGTCTCTTGGGGGTAAAGGACACTAAGGTGAGAAAGTACCCTGTGAGTATGATTAAGAGACTACTGATGAACCACCTACTAGAGGACGTTGACTTCCTTTGGACTTCAGTCTCCCCTGAAGATATTAAGGCAGTAGGTTTTGGGATGTCTAAGGAGAAATCCCCTGGCCTAAATGGCTTTTCCTCTTGAGTTTTTTTCCAGGACAATTGGTCTGTGGTAGACATCTTGGTTACTCACGCTGTGAAAGAGTTCTTTTTGTTGGGTCGGTTGTTTATAGAGGTAAACAATATAATTCGAAATCTCATCCCCAAAGTCCTTAATGTTGAAACAATGAAGCAGTGTAGGCCAATCTCCTTCTGTAATTTCCTTTACAAATGCATTTCTAAAGTCATTCTCGGTAAGCTTAGAGAAGTTCTTCCTTTGGTCATCAGTGAAAACCAATCTACTTTCATTAAACTAGGATGATAAGTGACAACATTATACTAGCTCATGTACATGGGCAATGGCCCGGGCCGCCCATGGGCTAGCACGACACGGCGCACAGGGATGAAATATACGGGCCGGTTCAACACGAGCACGAAAAATTTATGGACCGTGCCGAGTCTAAAGTTCATGGGCACGAGCATGGGCACTACACGGTATGTAAATGGGTCATGTCAGGCCTAATATTTTCGAGAACCTATTGAGTATAAGAACGAACATGGAATGAAAAAAATATTTATATGATAGAAAATAAATATAAAAAGGATTATAGGTCCAAATCTTAAAAAATTCAAGTACAAAAAAAATTATTTATTGTTATTAGAAGTGATCATAAATATATATACGTAATTACTATCATAAGTAAAAATTGACGAAGTATTAAACAAATTCAAATCACACCCACTATACTTTCAATTTTGTTTCCCCCCTTATTTGTTACATTTGTTACATTCTCGGTTAATACTTTTATTCTCCGTCCAATTTGTTCCTTATTTTTCATTCTCTCTTTTATTTTCTTCCTTTTCATTAAATATGAATATAAGCACGGCACGAGCACGAATAAGCACGACACGATTCAAATCGTGCCCTGACCTGGGCCGGACCGAGCAAAATTAACAAATGGGCTGACATGGCACGACACAAAAACTGACGGGTCGTGCCAAGCACGACACAAAATAAACGGGCCCGAAGCGTGCCCGTGCCCGTGCCAGCCCAAGCACGGCCCATCGTCCATGTACACTAGCTCATGAGATGGAGAAGTGGTATAGAAGGAAAAATATATCACATAGACGTGCTGGGAAGGTGGATATGATAAAAGCTTTTAATAGTATAGATTGTGAATATTTGTTTGATGTGATGGAAGCCATGAGGTTCCCTGACAAGTTTATTGGATGGATAAGGAGCAGTTTGGAATCTTCTACTCTTACAATGTGTATTAATGAAGGGTTAACATGTCTCCAAGCAAAAAAAGGGGGCTGGGGTAGGGGATCCCCTATCACCCTACCTCTTCGTAATTGCCATGGAGATTCTATGTCGTATGCTTAATAGGCTTACCTCTTCGTTATGCTTTTGCTGATGATCTCCCTATATTTGCAAAGGGTTCTATGTAAGGCTGGTATTCGGTAAACTAGTACCCGGTATAACCGACTACCGAGCTAGTTACCGGCGGTATCTGGTATACCAAATACTGGCGATATCGGTATTCGGATGTATAATTCTCCAATCGCTAATACTGGATACTTGGCGGTAATTACCGATGCTATATCGGTATACCACAACACCAAACCGCAGGGAAAAAAGTAAACGCAATGCAGCGGATTGGATTTGGGGGTAAACTAAACCCTAATGCATAATCGACCTTGCCTCCCCCGAAGCACCCCACGGTCGACCATCTCCTTCGATTCTCTCTCGAAAATTGATCTTGCCTCCCCCAGCCCACCAGCAGTCCCCGGAGAGAGCTTCGCCGCTTCTTGAAACCGACAGCGGGGTTCAACTCCGACCATGATTGATGATTGAAGAACGAATTGAAGAGGTAGAAGAAGAAAGGAAAGATTAAGAACGACGACGACGAAGGCCATGAACTGGTCGATGAGCTGAAAGCCTCATTGGTCGATTTCCTTCACGACACTATTTCCTTGTTGAACCTTCTTGCCATCCCCGAACCCAAGGTACGTATGCCTCCTTCATCCTACCATTTATTTCCCCCACCTTAATCTTAATTATTTCATTCATTCATTAGCTATTGTATTCTTTTTTTTTGGTAGAAAGATGGGACGCTAAAAGGGCGCCCCTGCCTGATACTTTAAATTAAACGAAATTGGGAGATACCCATAGAGTCATACAAAAGCCAAAAATTCAGCCCAGAGTCATTAGACTCCACAACATGGGAACCTAGCCCAAGAGAGTGGCCTTTATTAGCTAAATAATCCGCCGCCTTGTTTCCTTCTCTGAACGTGTGAGAGATCCGAACCTCCCAGTTTTGATGAACGAGGCTCTGAAACTGCCTCCAAAGATTGTGATAGCGACCTTCATACGGCCCGTTCGATGTCATGATGCTGAGAGTGACCATCGAGTCAATTCGCATTTCCACTTTGCGGTAGCCGAGCTGCCAGGCGAGAAGAAGACCCTAGATAGCGCCCAGCAACTCTGCCCTGGTGATGGTGCAAGCTCCAAGGTTGGAAGTGAAGGCGCCAAGACATTTCCCAAGGCTGTCTCGCACAAGCCCACCCGCCGCCGCCAGCGAATCCGGGTGTCTAACCGAGCCATCTGTATTTACCACAACCCAGTCCGGGGGCGGGGGGGTCCAAGCAATCTCTGTCATTGTCTTAGCACGCTGAACATTATGGATAGCCCTCTCATTCTCTTGAGCCTCGCGAACAATGGTGGTCCAGCTCTGAATTCTGTGGACAAGGGAGTTTGTATCTTGTTGCTTGTGATCAAAAATCCATTCGTTCCTTCTCTTCCACAGGTACCACGCAGCAATCCCGAACAGCAGCCCAGTCCGTGCGTCTTTGAGATGCACCGCCAGCCAATCTGCCAAATTGATTCCCATAGTCAGATTTGTATCAGAAATCCCAAGCGCGTGCCATACCTGGGTAGCTAGAGTACAATGGCGCAAGATATGCTCGGTAGACTCGGGTGCTGCCTTGCAAAGCTCGCAGGTATCCTGAGCACAGATCTTCCGTCTTTTCCTTTCACAGTTTGTCATCAACCGGTTATGGAAAGCCAGCCAGAGAAAGTGCCGTATTCTGTTCGGACCGTCCCATCGCCAAATCTCCTTCCAGGCAGTAGCTTCAATGGTAGGGATCGCGTTTCCATCATTCTTGTTAAGCCAATCCGCTGCAACAGTGTAGGCAGATTTAATCCGAAATTTTCCATCCTGCTCCATTCCCCACGTCGTGCGATCATCGCCGCAGTCCCGACTTGGCGGATCTAGGCCTGCAATGAGAAGAATGGTTGAGTTAGGTAAGAGACCTTCAAACCGTGACCAGTTCCACTTACCCGGGCTGAGGACCATGTCTGCCACTGAGGAATTCCAGTCAATGGCGCCACCTCGATCATCTGCAAGGTCTCTGAGAATAACACCTTCGGCGACCCAGGGATCATGCCAAAAATTGACACTCTCCCCGTTCCTGACGTCCCAAACCGTGCCTTGTTTCACAAGAGGGAGGGCTTCCAAGATACCCTTCCAGAGTCTAGAAACCCGTTGCCGCCGCATCGTCACACCACCATTGTCATTAGGTTTGACATACTTGTCCTGCATAACTCTGACCCAAAGGGGCTTCTCATCATTTAGGAAGATCCAACCTAACTTCATTAGATAAGCCAGGTTAAGGGCACGAGCCGACCGAAGGCCCAACCCCCCTTCCTCTTTCGGTTTGCAAATATTTTCCCATGAAACAAGGTGGGTTTTGGCATGACCATCCTCGGCTCCCCAAACAAACCGTCGGATCTTCCTGTCAATCACATCGCAGATGTAACAAGGGAGTACAGCCGTTTGCATCACATAATTTGGGAGGGCATTCAGAACCGAGAGGGCAAGAGTCACACGACCCGCTAATGAAAGGCTTCGAGATTTCCAGCCCTCCAGTCGTTTATCCAACTTTTCCAAGATATATTTATACGTGTCTTTCGTGACACGGCCATGGATAACTGGCACGCCAAGATATCTCCCCAGGTCCTCGGTTTGCTTCATGCCCAGTAATCTGGTGATCCTTCTTTTCTTCCGCTCCATAGTGTTTCTCGAGAAAAAGATGCAAGACTTGTCCTTGCTTACTTCTTCCCCAGAAGCATTACAAAATCTCTCAAGACAGTTGAGGATAGCTAGCCCCTGCTTCGTATCTGCTTCAGCAAAGAACACTAAATCATCTGCAAAAAAGAGATGTGTCAGTGTCGGACCATCCTTAGACAAACGCAAAGGAACCCAATCTCCATTACCAACAGACTCTTTAATGCAATGATTCAAACGTTCGATGCATAAAGTAAAAAGATAGGGCGAGAGGGGACATCCCTGTCTTAATCCGCGTGACGGTTTGAAAGAATCCGTGCAGCTGCCATTCCAGAGGACTTGGAAGCTAGAAGTTGTCACGCAAGCCATAATAAGGTGAATGAAGTCCATTGGGAGGCCTGCTGTTACCAGGGTGGACCGCAAAAACTCCCAGTTGACTCTATCGTAAGCTTTAGCTAGATCGATCTTCAGAACCATGCTGCCACGAGACCCCTTTAACTGGCCAAGCGAGTGAATCACTTCCTGAAGGATAATTATGTTATCCGTGATATGTCTGTTGGGGACGAAACTAGTCTGATTCTCATCAACTAACTTTGGCATAATATTTCTCAGACGATCAGCTAGACACTTGGCCAACACCTTGTAGCTCACGTTGCAGAGACCTATTGGCCGAAACTGACCCATGGATGTTGGAGATTCGACTTTGGGCAGCAGGGACAGAAGGGTCATGTTACAGCTAGCTATGTGTTCCGGTTCCTTGAAGCACTGGACAAGATGGTGAAAGAAATCCTTGCCTATAGACTCCCAGCATTTCTGATAAAAAACCGCATGAAATCCATCCTTTCCCGGGGCCTTGAGACCGCCCATCGCTTTAATGATTTTGTAGGTTTCCTCTTCCGTCGGAATAGCAGCCAAACCGTGTAGAGTACTTTCCTCGATTGCAGGGAACATGGCTACCAGAGAGGGTCTTGTACCTGCATCCTCGGTAAAGAGATTAATATAAAAGTTTCTTGCCATGTCTTCCAGAAGATGGGGGTCCTCCACCCAAGTTCCATCCATAGCTTGCAGCTTAGAGATTTTATTCCGACGACGTCTGGTCAGAGCAGCAGTATGAAAGAAGGAGGTATTCTTATCCCCAAAGTTAATCCACCCCGCCCGAGATTTCTGCAGCCAAAGCAGTTCCTCTTGCCACAAGGTTTGTTCCAATTCATCACGCATACGAGCTTCCTGTTGAAGACCAAGAGTGCTGGGAGCTGAATCGTTCCTGGCTTCAGCGGTGGCAAGGCTTTTGGTGAGGGTCGCCTTTCTTTTAAAGATGTTCCCAAAGACCTCCCTATTCCAGACAGACAGCGTGTGTTGGAGGCCCTGGAGGGAATCAAGGAAAGCCACTCCAGGTTTCCAAGCCTTCTCTAAAGTGGGTTGAAAATCCTTGTGTGTGAGCCATGGGGCTAGGAACCTGAAAGGCCTCCTCTGCCTATTGTGCAAAGGATCATTGGAGGAACAAATAAGAAGAGGTCTATGGTCAGACCGAAGCCGAGGCAGATGATTAGTCAACGTATCCGGGAAGCAGCTAAGCCATTCGGTATTGCACAGTGCTCGATCCAGTCTAGAGGAGAGATCGCCTATGACCCAGGTGAATCTAGGCCCTTTGAAATCCACATCAAGAAGACCACAGTCGTCAATGAGCCGGTTGAAGTTAGCTGAACTGGCTGGGTTATAGACAGCCCCTCCTCTTCTCTCGGAAGGACCTCTGACAGAATTGAAATCACCAGCTAATAACCAAGGTTCTGAGATGCCTTGCTCTAGGTTTCGGAGGGTGTCCCAAAGCGGCAGGCGATCATGCTCATTGGGTTTAGCGTAGATAGCCGTCAGGAGAACTGCGTGATTATCCTGCACATTAACACAGCGAAAATGGAGCAACTGAGCATTACGATCCAAAACAGAAATGGAGAAGACAGAGGAGTTCCAAAGGACCCAGATGCCCCCCCGAAAAACCTACAGCATCTACCACTTCATGCTTGTCAAAACCCATTTTACCGATGATATCCAAAGCATCCTTGCCACTGATACGAGGCTCAACGATGAACACCAGGTTAGGGTGATGGGTACGAACATAATCTTTGAAAATCGCAAGAAATTTGGGGTTTTTGGCCCCACGACAATTCCAAGAAAATAACTTAATCATAAGGAAAAAGAAACAGAGAAAAGGGGGAAGGGAAACGCGCTCAGGCGCTATGATTCGGTGACCGGATGGCCCCCTGAGTTATCGATTGCCGGAGGAGTGGTCGTGGCCTGGTCGATGTTGTCCGACATTGTAAGATCATTCGCTATTCCAACACCGGGTTGCTCGATGACATCTGCCCGCCGCTTCGGATTCGCCATAAACTCAGAGATGGACTGAGGGTTGATAGGGAAGTTGGGCAGTTTTGATAACTCTTGCAGGAGCTTCTTCGCCGAGGTAGAATTCTGAGCTAAGGGTTTCTTCGATGAGTCCTTCATGATTTTTGGTTTGACAGCTTTCACTTGGGCGTGCTGGGATTTCGGCTTGTGCGATCGATGGCGAGTGGAGGGAACCGGCCGATTGGGATCGGAGTTTTCTTTCTTCTCAGTTGGTGACGGGAAGATGATTTGAGCAGCTGAGCTGCCAGCGGCTGGGCCCGAACCACCCGCCTCCACAGTCTGATCCGTCACAGTGTTGGTTGGGCTTGGCCCCACCTGCTTACTTGTGTTAGAGGCCCCTTCATGGGCTTGGGACACTTCCACAGTTTTCTTCGGCCCAATAGGCACCCATTCCTGAGACGTAATAGCAGTTTTCTCGGTCAAAAAGCCGTTGCCGTTCCCATCCGCTTTCCTTCTCGGGTTCGAATTGTTTCCTTTTCTTTCGACTGCCTTTGAAACCGTCTTTCCTTTCCCGTCCTTACCCGAATTGATCCTGATTTGATCACCCTTACCTTGTTGGGACGTTTTCTGGTTCACCTTCCCTGAAACACCACCGCGGCCGGTATCTTCGTATTGACTGCTGGCCGGGTTTTGTGATACTTTCCTATTTTGTTTCCTGCTTTTCCTCGTGACTTGCATCCACGGCCCGTAGCCGGCGGGAACCTCCGGCGACGGCGCTGCTTCTTCGGAAGGAAGAGAAGTCTCTACAGCATTGGAGCTGGTAGTCGCTGTGGTTCCTGCTTTTTTGGCGCAAAATTCCTCCGTGTGGCCTATCCTGCCGCATTCAAAACATATCTCCGGCAAGTTCTCGTAGAGGACTGGTTGCCAGGATCCGTCAAGCCGAATTCTCGTCGCCAGCGGCTTCGTCATGTCCAATTCCACAGCTAGGCGGGCGAATTTACCACGTTCAAGATTCTCCGTGTGGTAGTCGAGCTTCACTGTTCTGCCAATAAGATTGCCCAAAGCAAAAAGGACTTCCCGATGATAGAAATGGACAGGGAGCTCCGGCAGTTGAATCCACGCCACAACCGATTTGTGCGGTTTGTCGGACGTTCTGAACGAGGGCGACCATTGATGTACAACAAGGTAGTGGTCGAGGATCGTCCATGGTCCTCCAGTGAGGGCATGGAGGAAATCTTGGTCGTTGTAGAAGGTAACGAGGAAAGTCCGGTCGTTTAGGTCCAAGATGTCCAGCCTACCGGTCGGACGCCACTTCCATCGGAGTTGGGAGCACAAGTAGGCGTAGGAGATTGAGCGTCCGAGAAGTCTGACTACAAGAGTCTTCTTCCAAGGGGAGCATAGCCTATCTTTGAACTTTTCCGACACCTTAAGCTCCGGCTCACCGCCGAAAAGACCCGATTCAAGGTCGTGCTCTCCGACGAAAGTCCATTGATTTGCCTTGGATGGTGAGTTCTGAGTTGGTCCGGCGAGTGCCATCTTAAAATTGAGTGGTGGGAAGCTCGCAGGGTCGACTCCCGTGGGTGGCTGAGACAGAGGCGGAGAGAAGACTTGATCCGGAGGACGGCCAGCTGGTGCTGGTACAGTCGCCGGAGGGGTAGCAATTCCAGAGGTATTACAGAGCATTTTTCCAGGGGTCTGGGCTCACCAATCTTCTTTTAGCTATTGTATTCTTGTTTGACAAAAAATGCATCAATAAGTATAGCAGCTAATCTCTACCTTCCTTTTGTAGATCTTCGACGAGGCTAACAGTAACCAGCCTTCAACAAGAACTCAAGAAGCAGCGGCCAGCGGGGAGTTTTTGACTTTTGTAGCTCTTTTTCGAGGCTAACTATAGCCAGCCCTCAACAAGAAGTTGCATCAACATTCAACAATGTTAGTCTTGTCTCTTGACAACATGTAAATTCAAGATTTGGTCAATTTAGTGAATTAGATGAATTAGATTTTAGTGAATACTGAATTGTGAAGCAAAATAGTAGCATACTTGTATGATTGTATCAGACGTGGTGTTTGTGTTTCTATTTGACTTTTTCCTTTTGGTGAATTATAATATAGATGCATTAGATTTTACTGCCCACCTAATGAATGAAGTAATTGACAATTGTTTACGTTTGACCATATGTCTTTCACTCTTTTGCTGGTTTGGAGTAGGTAACAGTATGTTAATGTCTCTTGCTAGTTTGGAGCATTTGGTTTTATATTTTTATGGGTAAATGTCACATTTGGTCACTGGGATTACTAAATCGTGTCATGTTTAGTCACTAGAAAAAAATAATATCAATTTTGGTCACTCGAATTACTGAAATAGGTCATATTTAGTCACTCTCCGTTAGTCAACATCCAACTCCGTTAAAAGACTTTGTTATGTGCTGACATGGCCACAAGAGCGCATAGTCAGCGCCATTTTGGGTCAGAAATGGTCAAACCCGATCCGCCACGTCACTAAACCCGCCATATCATACACCCAATCCAACCCATGAATCCAACCCGACCCTGAACCAAAACCGACTCACTTAACAAAAGCAAACCCACCTCACTTCTCCTTACACTCGTTCTTCATCTCCCCACCTCCACCTCTCACAAGCTTTCACCACCACAATCTCCCGCCGCAAAATGGAAACAGAGCGTCTCCACCCAACAGCCGCCGCCGGCAACTACCAAGACGAAGAGAACACGTCGACTTTCTCAGGCTGCAACTGCTTCAGCTCCTTATTCTCTAGATGGGGGAACAAAACCGCCAGCGACAAAAGCAACAATACCTTCTTATACAAAACAGGGGAGGAGCGAAAACAGGGGAAGGGAAAAACCAGCAGCAACAGAAGTTCAATTGATGGAGGTTTCAGAAGTTCAATTACAACGTCGAGCTACGTCCTCAACTTTGATTGCGGGTTGGACTAGGAGGAGTATGACTACATTAATGGGTTTTCAAGAAATCTGTTCTCTCGTCGAGATTAGGGTTTTCAAGAACTCAGGGGATAAGTGATGGGTGAGGGATTAGAGGTTCGATCAAAACGGGGTTTCTCGGATCTGGTTGGTTTCCATGGCGGCAGCGGGGGAGAAGTAGGGGAGAAGTGGTGTGTAAGGATCGGAGGTCCGATCGAGAATGGGGTTTCTCGGATCTGGTTGGTTTCCATGGTGGTAGCGGGGGAGAAGTAGAGGATAAGTGGTGGGTGAGGAATCGGAGGTCGACGGCGGTGGTTGGCGCTTGTGGGTTTGGAGGAGAGCTCGTGGAGGATGTAGAGCAAGTTTGGACGCGAGAGCAAGTTGGCACCGATGCCGGTGGCTGCTGGGGGAGCGCATAATCCTCATGTTGATCTGCTAGGAGGAGAGAGATAGAGGATTTATTTTGTTAAGTGGGTCGTGTTTGGTTCAGGGTCGGGCTGGGTTGGGGTTATGATATGGCTGGTTTAGTGACGTGGCGGATCATGTTTGATCATTTCTGGCCCAAAAAGGCGCAGACTAGGCGCTCCTGTTAGTCATGTCGGCACATAACAGAGTCTTTTAACGGAATTGGACGGAGACTAACGAAGAGTGACTAAATCTGACCTGTTTGAGTAATTCAAGTGACCAAAATTGATATTAATTTTTTCGAGTGACTAAACTTGACACGATTTAGTAATCCCAGTGACCAAATGTGGCATTTATCCTAATTTTTATTAACATAACAAAGTCAAATTGATGTACTTTTGTAGGACAAAACCCTCTCGTGGAGGATTAAATTCGAAGGGTGGATCGCTTCCTCCTCGTCCCACTTCCAAAAAAGGCGGCACTTCCAAAAAAAAAATTCTACTGGTGTTACTAATTCTTCTCCATCCACAACTGAAACAAGTGCTGCAAATCCAACCCCTACCACAAGTGTGGCAAATCCAATCCCTACGGCTACCACAAGTGCTGCAAATCCAACCCCTACTGCAACTGGTGAGCCAAAGGAAACTGTGAAGAAGAGAGGAGGAAGGAAGAAGACATTGAGGTGGTGGGCTCCTTATGATCATGTGCTTGTGGAGGGCTACCCATATGTCAAATGCAAACAATGTGGTACATTGATCAAAGCACATTTGACAAACAATGGGATTAGTGGTTTGAAAACTCATCACTTGGCATGCGAGAGGAAGAGGAAGGAAGCTGGTGGTAGTCATTATTGAACTACCAACTTGAGGGTGGCGAGGTAGGCTCTCTTACTCCATGAAAGTTTGATCAAAAGAAAGCTAGGACTGCATTAGCTATCATGATAATATTGGATGAGCTTCCATTTAGATTCGTTGAGCGTGAAGGGTTTAAGAGATTTATGGTTGTAACACAGCCTTTGTTTGTGATACCTGGAAGGCAAACAATAAGGGAAGATTGTTATATAATAGGGTTATATGTATAATATGCCTCTCAACTATGACGTTTTATCAAACATGCCCTTCTACTATTTTTTACATAAAACATGCCTCTGTACTTTGTAAAAATGATCAAACATGCCCTTTGGTTTAAATTTTCATCCAAAAACCATTAACCAAGATCAAATTTTGGTCTGGGCGGCACAAATGTCTAAAATATCCCTAATAATTTCACTTTAGAATTTATTTTGTTATTTAGTATAGCCAAATAATTCAAATAATTTCACTTTGAAGAGACCCAGAGAAATAAAACGGAAGACAAAACTAACATCATCGCTCCCATTTGTCGATATCGGGTCGTCTAAATCTCGGTTCAACCATGATTGATGATTTTTCATTGGAAATTTTAACAGAAGGGCATGTTCGATAATTTTGTCAAAGTACAAGGGCATATTTGATGTTAAAAATAGTAGAGGGGCATGTTTGATAAAACATCATAGTATAGGGGCATATTATACCTATAACCCTATATAATATTTCTTGAGAAGAAAGAGTTGTTAATGAGTGTTTCAAAGCGAAGTGCAAAGGAAGGATTTCAATCGCCACAGAAACTTGGACTTCTGACAACAACCAGAATTTTATGTGCGTGACTGCTCATTTTATTGGGAGTGATTGGAAGTTGCAGAAGAGGATAATTAGTTTTGGTCCTATTACAAGTCACACAGGAAATGATATTGCAGAAAAGTTGGCAACATGTCTAGAAGAATGGAAGGTACAAAATTTGTTCAACATTACAATGGACAATGCCACATCTAATGATGTCCTTGTTGAGTGCATGAGAACAAAGCTGGAAGAGTGGGGATCAGATTTGATGAATGAGAAGTTCTTACAATTTCGATGTGTGGCACACATAATAAATTTGGTTGTTTCTGATAGGATGAAGGAAGTTGAACTTGCTGTAGAGAGGGTTCGTGATTGTGTAAAATGGGTGAAGTCATCACGAGTTTGGATTGAAAAGTTCCAATATAATATTTCATTTATTGAAATGGATGGGAGAAGATTTGTATCTTTGGATGTTCCAACTTGGTGGAACTCCACCTATTTGATGTTGGGATCTGCAGAAAGGTTCGAGGTTGTTTTTAACTTCATGCATTCAAGTCCAAATGGTGCTTCTTTTCGAGATTATGTGGATTCAAAGAAGGGTCTACCAAGCAAAGAAGATTGGTGCAGTATCAGACGGCTAATGAAGTACATGAAGTTCTTTTATGATCTAACTCTTTATGTTTCGGGTATGTGAAGATCAAATTTTCAAATCCATTCCTTTGTTAATTTACCTTCTCTTAAAGTGAATAATTATGAGTTACAACTTATACTGTTATATCTACCTTGTATCAGGAACATCATATGTGACTGCACATACTTTTTTCAAGGGCATCGTTGTCATTTTGTAAGTGATAACAACATTGAAGAATGATATGGATGAGCAGATACAACAAATGGCAAACATAATTGAGGCTAAGGTATGAAAGTATTGGTTTGAGCATGATGATGATGAGGAGGAAGATAACCTAAAGATAAATAGACTAGTTTACATAGCATGTGTGCTAGATCCTAGGCGTAAACTTGAATATTTATCTTGGATGTTGAATGTTATGTATGGGAATTCGAAAGGGGAGGCTTTGATAAAGGAAGTAACTGCAGGCATGACTGATTTTTCGAGGTTTACAAATTGAAATGTTCACCTCTATCATCTGAGCCCACTATTCAAACTACTCCTGGTGCGAGTGGTGCTAGTGTTGGTGCTACTAATACTAGTGTTTTGGGAGGGAAATATGATGTTGAGTTCAAGAAGAGGAGAAATGAGCAACTTCAAAAGGGAATTCGAGGTAGTTCTGAATTGGACATCTATTTAAGAGATGTTAATGATGCTATTAACGAGGATGATGATGATCAGAAGTTCGACATTTTGAAGTGGTGGTCTCGAAACAATGTTAGATATCCCATCCTTTCAGAGAAGGTTAAGGATATCCTGGTAGTTCCAATCTCCTTAGTTGTCTCAGAGTCCGCTTTCAGTTGTAGAGGTAGAGTGATTAGTCCGTTTAGGTCTTTTTTGAACTCTAACATCATGGGGGTCTTGATTTGTGCCGAAGATTGGATACAGTATGAATGTGGCAAGAATTCAGGCCAAGTTCATGATAAAGAAGAAGGTGAAGACCAGATTGATTATGAAAGAGGTAAGAATTCCTAATTCTTATTTGTTTTCAATTATTCACTCACTTAATTTCCAAGATAATTGATTAATTC